ACACAAACTGAAGATGGATCAGGAGAATGTGACCCGGCAGCTTTAATCCTGATGCATCACATTTTTTTACCTTTCTTTTTTAAAGATTTATTTTAAAAGGCTTTTTGTGCCTTTAATGGAGAGATGGAACAGTGGATAGAGTTGGAAATCAGGGAGCGAGAGCGGGGAATGACATGCGGGAAAGACACCACAGGTGGGATGTGAACCCGGGCCACCCGCTTGAGACGACAGCCTCCATACATGGAGCGTGCGCACTAACCACTGCACCACCAGCACCCCACATTTTTTTTACCTTTCTTAACGAGCTGGCCAAAAAGTCTGGATCTGGATCCGGATCAGGACAATCCAATCCAAGGTTATTTTGAAATAACAGACACTGAGAGTCAGCTGCAGAGATGAGCCGGACTCTTCAATCCTCAACACGGACACCCAGCTCATTTTCTGCTCAACTTTATCATGCAGAGAGAAAATTGTCACAGAGGATTCTTCACACACTTGTGTCCCAGGATCGAATGCACTCTATCGCCATCTTGTGGACAATTAGCTGGCCTTAAAGTTTGGATCTGGATCAAGTGGATCCAGTCCTGTTTTTAAGATACCAGGACAAAAGTCAAAGGTCAAAAAGATGACCTTCTCATTGTTATTCAGATGGGACTTTCAAACATCTGGACCCTGGAAATAATTTTGTTTTGTTAATCCGATTGTTTTATTTTGTCTTTTCCTTGCGTTGTGTTCCTCCCGGCCTCTGACTGATGGAGGCCTCTCAGTCCGATTTTTCACACTTAAATATAATAGAAATCAAGTATATCCTCTGAAAATAACTCTGTGAGTCATGACTGTCTACAATGGGTGTAACACCCCGAGTCCCACTGTCTGTGATGCTTTCCGAGTTTTCAGAGTCCTATCTTCAGTTTGTTTACATCGTTGGGACGGCCGGCCGGCTCCTCCCCTCGCGTATAAAAGCTGTTTAATTGAGAGACTAGAGAAAAGAAGAATAACATACTGTACTCACTGCTTAACTGCGTTTCTAGATCACACTCATTTCGGGTAAATGTACATGCAATGTGCACCGCAAGTTGTTTTGGTTTCATGCTGGTGCTCAAGGGCGACATCTGCTGGATCAAGAAATCGCATATAAAGCCTTTAAAGGTCACATGATGCTAAATCCTCTTCGCCATGTTTCTCTAACTTTAATATGTGTCTCTAGTCTGTCTTCAACCCCCCAATGATGAGAAAAGTCCTTCCTCTCCATCTTTTGCCTGCTCCACTTTTCAGAAAATGTGTGCTCAAACAGGCCGTTTGGAGATTTTCCCCTTTATGACAAAAGGCAGTAGCCCCTCCCCCAGGTTGGTGAACCTCCCACAGCTAGGTGTTTGATCTGCCCTCTGAGTCTGCCTTCTCACAGTAAACAATGGGGCATGGAACGAGAAAGACTGAGACACCCAAGTCCTTCCAGAGAGGGGGTGTGGTCAGACACAGCTCATTTACATTTAAAGATACAGACACAGAAACAGCCTGTTCTGAGCAGGGCTGAAATAGAGGGGTTTATAGGCATGATCAAATACAGGATCAGAGAACGATCCTCGTCAACACAGTTGATGTGATCCACATGTCAACACTGCTCGTAGTTTGTGTGAAACTCTGTTAATCGTGCTGCTGCCTGTCTCGGCCAGGACACTCTTGAAAAAGAGATTTTTAATCTCAATGAGTTTTCTTTCCTGGTTAAATAAAAATAAAAATTAAAAACAATTTCCTGCTCGACCCCCGACATGCAGAGAAGAAGCTGTCACAGAGGGTTCACCACAGCCTCATGTCCCAGGATCATATACACTCTATCGCCATCTTGTGGACATATTGTACATTGCATCTTTTAAAGACAGATATAGGCTGTGTCCGAAATCACTCCCTATCCACTATATAGTGCACTACATAGTGAATAGGGAGTAGGGAATGAGTGAGCGATTTCGGACACAGCCATAGTTTCCTCCTCTCTCTAGAATCATGATTTATTCTGGTTCAGCTCGTGTCCTGAACAGTGGCGTTTCTAGGTGTGAAAAATTGGTGGCACACAACCTCTTTATGAAATGCTATACCAGGAAAACTACAGTACTCTAGCTACTGATGTGATTTATTTAATTTATTTTACATGTCAAGGGGTCATTCTTGGTTTAACAAAATACTATGCAGAGTGGCTTCTTAAACGCACAATCACACGCGAGCACACACACTCGCGCAAACACACACGCGCGCACACACACACACACACACACACACAGAGAGAGAGAGAGAGAGAGAGAGAGAGAGTTAGTGTTCCTCCTACTGTCACAAGCCTAAATTAAACATGAAATATTCCATCCTCGTAAACCAATACAACTGAGCTGAGGACAAATAAACTAATAGGACCATAAAAGCCAACAGTAACAGAGTGCAAAACCACCAAAGGCCACAAGGGAGCACGCAGACATCTTTTTAGGGATACAGATCCTTTCTGTGACAACAATCCTAAAATAAGCCCAGATTGACACGTCACCCTCTCTACATCAATCAGTCCACCAAAAATGAACAATTCACATACAAGCTCTAAAAGGCAGTATGATAAAATATCTTCTTACTTATCAAAGCTGCGGGCTCACTAGAAGAGAAAAGCTGCACGGCGGTTCTTCCTCTGTGCGAACTTGTCGCTGACATTAGGGATGAAGTCCTGTAGCTGCTGAATCAGCTGGCTGTCTATAGAGAGCATGGCCAAAGCGTTGAGCCGTGGCTGTCCCATGGTGTTGCGGGTGAAGATTTTTATCCTCTTCAGGGTGGAAAAGTTCCTATCTATTAAAAAATGCACCTGAATATTCCTGGGTTAAGAGAGTCCGCTGACTCGTCATGGCCCCGTAGTGCCGTTTCACATTTTCCACACAGTTTAATTCACGTTTCAATCCGATTGAGCACGTACCGGTTTTCCTCCACCTGTCTGTTATGCTGCTCAAACAATCGCCTGGAAGCGCTGTCAGTTTGCGCAGCTACATTTATTTTTCCAAGTTAGCTCAGTTTCACCGCACTGTCCAGAGGAATCCCTCTGCTCTCGGGTTTTGTGATCCTCTCAGAAAGAGGTTTAAGATTTTTGAAACCTGTCCTCGACCAGGTACCATCTTAGCAGAATAGCAGAAATGGAAAACATAAGAGCGCCTTCTTCTCGATGCTAACTGTTATCCACTTTTTCTTCAACAATAAATCCGCACTTTGTTTTACTGGCAGTTCGGGTGATGATCCCTCAGCTGGTGGGCTCCAATGTGCCCAAATTAGGTAGTCGAATTAGTTTAAAATTAGACTGAAAATATGAAACCGAATTAAGCTAGTGTAGACTGTAAATACAGAGCTCCTGACCTGACACACAGATGCAGCGTGCACAGCTGTCAATCAAATCTGCAACAACCGTTATATGGGCATAACCGTTTTCCTAGATAAAATAAAATCACGAGTTATAAAAAAAAGTCACCCCTGTACAGTGTGTGCCCATGAGGCCATTAACTAATCAGATCTGTTTGTCTCTTTGAACCAGGTTGTAAACATGTTAATTCCTGTTGTAAAAACGGCTTTTTTTTTTGCTCTGTGCTTCTACAGCCAGCCTCTAGTGGACACTCGACGAACTGCAGTTTCTTGTACTTCCGCATTGGCTTCATTTTTCAAGAGGTTCCCGCTTGGAAAAAAACAAACAATCGTGGAGATAGGCTGTTTGTCGGGAGTTAAGAAACCAAAAGCGCAAACAAGGAAGACTGCTGCAGACACATGTGGGACAATGAAGAGGAGAGAAAATAAGAACATGAGTACTTTCAAAAGCGAGATAGAGAGATAAGAAATTTGGAGGGAAAATATCCTGTATGCACATACACATAGGCTACACACAAACAGAGAGAAAGAAAATAAATTTGGACTTCTAGGAAGTTTGGATGTTCTTGTGTTTCAAGTACATGGGCCAGATGTGGTCATTGAACAGAACAAGTGAGTTAAAGGGTTGAGAGTTGAGAATATATGTTTTATCTTTATGTTTTAGAGTATTTGTCAATACTTTATATATATATTTTGCCTGTTAAGCTAATGGAGCACAGGTTTGTTTTGGCTCACTGGTTATACATTAGCAGCTAACTGTATAATCTTCGTCAAAGATGAGAATACATGTGTTCTGTGTGACTGTGGCAATTTACTGTAGTTCAGTTATTGATTATTAGGTGACGTTTTTGATAAGGAGATATGCTGAATGGTGGCATTGTAGCCATATCTGTTCGTTCATTAGCAGGACATGCACATGGCATTAAGATAGGTAGTCACTGTGAATTATGTCCAGTAGAGTGCAGTGCTGCCTTACTGATGTAAATGAATAAGCTATTTTGATACGCTCAGAAGCCTGTCATACAAAGTCTTTGCTGTGAACTGTATCTGTTAGTGAAGAAGTCTGTTTATACTTACCTGTTTTGTGTATACTTTATGCAGAACCACTGAGTCATCAGAGAACAGGATTTATGCGGCTGTGGTGGTGGTGGTAACGAATAAACAAAGTGGAATTGAAGACGCGTGGTTCTTACCGATCACCTGCAGCGAGTTCTACACAATAAGATCCAGCATAGTTAAGCAGGAAAGCTACATCTTTCTCACAATGACATTGTTTTTAAAGTAAATGCTCCCAGCCAATAACATGAATGAAGGCTGTCCACGTTGTGTACCCCTGCTTGTGCTCGTGCATGAACTGTACCGTGCCAAAGCGCACCTCTTCAAAGCTGCCAGGGCCTGAGGGCCTATACTAGTGAAATGAAACGAAATGAAATCCACTTCTTCAGGCTCCGCTACACCTCTGCATGGTCTACAACTGGCCACCAGGGGTCCCCGTTGGTCCACTTTGAGCAGAATGAACAAACGTTTATTTTTTTCCCAGGGTACAAATCAGAGGAGGGACCACTGAGGAGTGTGAGTGAGATTTGTTGTCGCACGCACGCACACACACACACACACACACACACACACACACATTCACACATTCACACACGGACTCTCTGCACTGTTCGTGTGTAACTTTGAAACAACTTTAAATCTAAGTTTAAGTCCTTAAAGACATTTCTAAGCAAAGTAAAGCAAAGACGGCGTGTGTGCGTGCGCGTGTGTGCGCGCGCGTGTGTGTGTACAGACATGTCGCGAGGAATGGATGCAGAGAGTAACAGTTAGGTAAGCTGGGTGTGGACAGGTGACTGACGCTAACGGAAAGAGACGGGACTACGTGCGTACACCGTAACGGTTCTTGGTCCGGGTTTGGTTCGGTTCCTCCTGTTGAAACCTCCCCGCCCCTCCAGCAGCCTTTTCCTCTCGAGTTTTACCCGCTTCTGCTGCCTCCACCGCCGGACTCTTCCTCGGTGTTCACCTCGGTGGAAGAAATGTCGGAAGGAAAAACGGACATTCCCAATGAGCTGTCCGGTAAGAAACTGTCAGAGACTCTGAGTAACGGGAAACCGACTCATGTTGTGTTCACAAGTTAGACTTTTTAGACTTCTTTTTTTTAAATCTCAGGTGAAGTTGAGTACATCTACTTTACGTTCAAATCCCTGAAAACTCGATTTAAAGTCAACACGAGTCACATTCTCGATACATGTAGGCACTCAGCAGACCTATTCACGCACATTTAAAGTCTCATAAAGTTTTTAAAATCTGGCTTTTAACTCCAGAATCCACCTGAGGAAGAAAATGAATCTGTTTAAGTTTAGATCCACGGACACAGAGAGGCTGAAAAGTTGGAAACAAACAGACTGACATAAAAGTTATCAGAGATCACTGAACATAGAAGAGAGCTTACATAGAGGGGGAATGTACCTTAAAGTGGATTCAATGTGACGACCATGTTTGTGACTTTAAAGCAGCAGAGACAAACTTCTTTGAACTTTCACTGTTTTTATCATATTTTCTGCTGTTAAGGGGGAAAAGTTGTTTTCATGCCTGCAGGGCTCGGTTGGTTGGCTACCTGAGAGGTTTTCTCTGTCACTTCCTTATCTGAAGTGTGGAGGGGGGGGGGGGAGAAAAAACTCTGGGAGAGGGGCGTGACCTGTGAAATTCCTTTGGATCCTGAGATATGATCAACACACCCTGATTGGATGACTGAGTGTCAGAGAGAGTAAAAACCTATAAATCACTGCAGTCCTCTTTGAGAGAGAAACTTCTGCTGTTGACTTTCGGTGAAATGATGACGACTCAGGACTTTTACCAGCAATGAAAAGTGATGTTTTTTAACTGGTACTAACACCTACGGAAGCCCGAAGTGGACAAACATCCAAACATTATATTTACTCTGTTTCCCCTGGCTGATCTCGACTTCTTCATTTCGTATCCTCAGAGTTATTAAAGCAAAGACAAACATAGAAATATGTTTAACAGAAAAAAATCTAAATACACTCCTTCTCACAGCAAGTCATCCCTCATTGGTTAATAAACGTGGGAGGAAAGCAGGAAGTGACCCAGAACTGAGACAGCACTCATGTGTAGCCCAATCATAGAACAACCCATCCCAAGAGTGATCATATTTATATTATATCATATTTATAATATGCAACCGACTCTCTCTAGACACAAAGACGATATCGACAACATAACAGAAAACACGAGAGGCTTAGTTCTTCATTTAGTCCATCAGGTTCAGCTGTGTCGAGGGTCCAAAAGTCCTCTCTTCTCAGCAGGTTGTGAACCAAATCCGGAGCGATGCAGCAGGACCGTGGTTTGAGAGCGCTGACCGTCGTTTGTGGAGTGGCTGAAGCGCGAGAGTTTCCTTCTCCTTTGTTAGTTGTGATTATCTGTTGGTGTGTTTACTGTAACGATGTTTAAGCTGCTCTCTCCGTCCTGCAGTTCTTCGAGTGTCCACTAGAGGCTGGCTGCAGAAGCACAGGAAGTCACACACACCCATTCTAAAAAGCCTGTTTTTACAGCAGAGATGAACATGTTTACAGCCTGGTTCAAAAACACAAACAGGTCTGATTAGCTCATGTCTCGATCGGCACACACTGTACGGGGGGTGAATGTTTTGATGACTCATTCGTTTTGATTTGATGAAGGATAAGAGTTATTCACAATCATGCGTGTAGCTGACCTGATTGACAGGCGGGCGCAGTTTAACGGTTTGTCAGGAGGCTTAAAACCCGCCTCAGCTCCAGCTCTCATCCTGTTGTTAGGTTGACTGAAAGTTAGGCTGAGACAGCATTTCCAGCATGGAGACCGCCATCGATGGGTCTCACAGACGGGTGTCACTCAGGCTTCAATCATTAATATTTATAGTCTGTGGTTCACTCCAGAGGGGGGGGGGGGGGGGGGGGGGGGGTCAGGCTGCCTCACAACCCATGCTCTCTGTTAACACACCGTCTGCAGCCCGCGCCCTCTCTCCCTCGCTCTCGTCGTGTACCGCTGCTCTCAGGGATGAATGGAGCTTTTTGTTTCCAGCTGCTGCTGTTGGTTTTAACGGGACAAACTGACTCGACGCTGCTCATCATCCAGAGACTAAACGTAGAGATGATCACTACTGTTCTCCGCGTGCACGGAGCTTGAGAGCCAGCGTGGTCACATCAGGTTAAGAGGTGGGGGGGGGGGGGGGGTGACCAAGTTCAGCAACATGAAGACAAGTGAAGCCTCAACAGTGAAAGATGAGTCCTTGCAGAGAAAGAAGTTAAATCCAAACGACCTTCAGTCAACAGACCAACTGAAAGTTATTATGCATGAATCATTGTGAAACATCACAAAGTGACGCACATGAAGGTCTACGCTCAGATATAAACTCTTATTTCGCGCGCTCCATGTGTGGGGGCTGTGGTCTTCGGGGCGGGCGGCCCGGGTTCAAATCCGGTCTGTGGCTCTTTTCTCACATGTCATTCCCCACTCTCTCTCCCTGATTTCCGACTATCCACTGTCCTATCTCTCAATTAAAACTGAACAGGAACAGGAACTGAAACCAAAGACAAAGACAAGCAGAGATTTTGTAAGAGGAGCCTCTGTGTCCACAGGGGGCGCCAAAATCAACACCAGCTGAAAGGTCCTAACGGGAGCTTAAAAATGATTTAAAGATGCCGACCGATTAATCAGCCGGCCGATATCAGCATATCAAGTGACTATCTGTATCGGCTAATTGTATCGCAGATATTCGCCACATTATTCACCAGTCAAAAAGCCTTTCAGCCTTTTATATTAATGTGAAAAGCACGTTTAGCATTTTAGCGACGAACATTCAGAATTTGAAAGTTCATCATGGAAATACATTTAGGATATGAGCAGCAGTAGCAGTTTGATTTGCTTTTTGCTGTAAAAACATGTAGTGACTCTGAATGTTTCTCTCAGCTGTAGCGTGAAGGTGTTGGCGCAGACGGCGGTAGAAGAGAAATGGTGCTGTCTCATATTTCAAACCTGTGCAGAAACGACTCGTCTGGAAACTCTCTGTTTGTCTGTGAGCCGGTCTGATGGAGGAGGAGAGGGCCATGTGTTTCTGATCAGCCTGCACGCTGCTGCTGCTGCTGCATGTGCTAATGTTTTCACCGTCCTCATGACCTCATCGTGTGTCCAGGCACACAGAGGACGCCATGATGTCATGATCTCACACTCTCCCCTCCGCTTCACCTCCTCCTTTATCCTCACACGTCTCTTCTTCTACCTCCTCGCCCTCTCGTTCTGTCGTCTGTTATTTAATCCTCATGAAGTCTTCGCCCTCCTCCTCCTCCTCTCCCTCCGTCACTCTCTGGATTTCCCCTCCACTGCTAAAAGAAAATAGGTTCAGCAACCCTCCCCCGGCCCTTTAGCTCAGTACGAGACAGAGACCGATAGAGCAGGCCGATTCAAACAGACATGAAATGTTACGCTTTGTTTTGATATTCAGGTCCAACTTTCTGAGTTCTGCTGATCTGGTCCCCTTCAGGTCCAGCTTTCTGAGAGACCTGGTTCCCTTCAGATCCAGCTCTCTGAGTGAACTGGTCCCTTTCAGGTCCAGCTTTCTGAGTGACCTGGTTCCCTTCAGTTCCAGCTCTCTGAGTTCTTCAGACAAACTAAAGTGCTGCTTCAGGCGATGTAACCTCTCCTTTAAACTCCTGTAGTCATTGTGTGTATTTGTGTATTTGTGTGTGATGTGATCCAGCTGTGGTGCCGCTAACCGTCAGGTGTTGTGTTCCCGGCTCTGTTTCAGAGAGTGTGCGGGAGGCGGTGGGTCGGAGGGTGAAGCTGACCCTGAGGCGGAAAGTCCAGCTGGAGGTCAAAGCTGACAAAGTGGAGAACAGAGTGCTGGTAAGTGGCCGATGCTCAGTCTCAGATTTCTAAATAAACCTGTGTGGTTTTGTTATTTTGCACTTTTATTTCATAAGAGAGATGAATCCTTCACCACGGGCACTGACTTCAAAAACACATTTAGAGGAAACATCGTGGGACCGAAACATTGCCAATAAAATGTGTTTTGAAGTCAGAACGTGTGCAGGAATTAGCTCCAGACTTTAAACATAGAGTCAGTCCCATGTTCCTTCAAAATAAATTACAGACTTCTCCTGAAGTAAAGCTGCTCCATCGTCCCTTCTGGGCCTCCGTACATGTGTGGTGGTGACTGTGTCTGACCCTGTCCTCTGACTGGATTTTACTGTTCTGATTTGTTCTGGTTGATTCGGGACGTTTCTGGGCGGAGCTGGTGTGTTTCCTCCAGCCAATGACAGCGCAGCAGGTGAGTTTAGGAGTGAATACAACTCAGTGATTGGACGCCATTCAAACCAGAGAATATGACGGATGTGGACGTAGCAGCAAAGAAGAGAAAATATAATCACAGTGAGGAGAAACACCAAGCGGATAAAACTCGTTCTAAAACGAGGGTGAACCTTGTGTTGTCTTTTACCCGTGGACGTGGAGTTGGTCTGCTTCCTGTTGGACAGGCAGGTGACAAACACCGCCGGTTAGCTTGTGCTAGCGTGCGTTAGCTTGCAGTGTAGCTACAAGCAGTAAACGTACACAACACGTCCTGCAGGGAGCGGGGCTTCTGGGGACGATGAGCCCAGGAGTAGGGGCTCAGTTTGAACGTTTACAAACATTTCTACTGACTCCACCTTTAAATGTCTGAATGAGGTCTTTACTTGGATTTAGTAGTTGTGTTAATCAGCACAGATTGAAGTTAAACCTCTCGTTCAGGCTGACACTCGTGTTTAAAGAGCTCACTAAGAAACAAACGCAGGCTGCACAGCTTTTAAAGATGGTGTGCTGTTGTTTTTTTTTAATCCACAAGGTTGCTTTGGTGCAGACACACGAGCAGATAAGACCTGAACCAGGAAGTGAAGGTTGATCAGAAGGTACGACATTAAAGAGAAGAGTGTAGTTCTTTTATTATTCGCAGCAGACATTTGTTTTTAAATCTTGATTTAGCGTGTTAACAGAATCAGCTCGAGCTGAGCATGGAGGATTTAGTCAACCTACATGTGGTTGTGAAATGTTTGGGATGACTGCGGCTGCAGCAGCTCAGTCTGAGAGGAGCGGCGTCTGTGAGTCATGATGGTCAGAGTCTGTCTGCATGTCAGACCCAAGCTTCCTTATTCTCTCAGCAGATACAAACTGAAGGCTGAAAAGTAACGTGAGTGATCTCATGTTTCAAAGTGCACGGTAAATTCTGCTCGTTTGGTGAATTCGGTGTCAGTATCAAAGGTTCTTCCCAGATGTGTTCATGGACTTCATATCAGGACTCTGTGTACAGACTATAAACTGTATAAAAAGATGGACAACATGACAGCTCTCCAAAAGTGAAGCCAAAACGTTTTAGAGCTCCCCCTGCTGACTGGCTGCAGCATTTCTCATAAGCTCAGCCTCCTCCATGTTTACAGATGGGACAAACTATTAAATGTAAATACACGTCTTCATAGTTTGTTCTTATCATGTTGATTCATGTCTCAGTGTTCATGCCTCTGAGAAGATTATCTTTAGTTAGTTATTGAATGATTGACAGCTGTGTTGACCAATGAGGCTCCTGCGTTGCTGTGTGTAGCGGATAATCAGAGTAGGAGAGGAAACGTAACGAACAGAAGAGTCGTTAAACTTTCCATCACCGTGAGCTTCTGCTTCAAGCCGACACCAGAATCTGTCCTGCTGTGACTGGACCCACCTGAGCGACCTTTGACCTTTTATCAGGAGGTTAAATGGGGTTTGGTTAGAAGAAGGTCCAACAGGAGGAGGTGGAGATGCGGCGTCCATCTTTATATGCAGTCTGTGGAGCAGACCTGTTAAATCTTCCAAGCCACGCTGGGAAAATCTCCTTCTTCATGGATCCGGCTGCTCGCACGAGGACACCGTCATGTTTGAACAGGAAAGAGGAAAGAACAGCGTTGTCTGGAACGTATTTATTTGATCTCTAAGACGTGCTGTCGCTCATTAAGGAATCGTCGACCCTGATCTAAAACTCTTTTATCCTCGTTTTTAGCCAAACACACAAGTGCAGAGGTCGGTCCAGTCAAACGTTGCCGTTCGATGAGAGGGCTCAAAGTTTGTAAAAGTTGCTGTCAGACTCTTATTACAGACACACGGTGGAGACACATCTAGATGTTTCTGCAGGTGTGTGCGTTACCTGTGAATCAAACATATCCAATCACAGTCTGAACACGAAGCTCCGAGCGTCGTGTCGACATCGATGCAAGAAGTGCTTTGCATTCTCATCGCCTCCTTCTGACCACATACCACATGTGAGACTGCAGCTCCTGTCAGGACATGACCAAGGAACACACACACACACACACACAACACACACACACACACACACACACACAGACACACACACACACACACACACACACACACACACACACACACACACACACACACACACACACACACACACACACACACACACACACACACACACACACACACACACCACATTCCACAGCTGTAGACCGGCAGATTAGAGACTCGTGTTGTAATTTTGTGAAATGCGGCACAAACACACTCTTGGCGTCGTATCACGCGTGTTAGTCAGATTGTTTCAGGAAAGTCGTCAGAAGAAAGAGCAAACCAGCGAGTGTGTCACAGGAACAAAAACGTCTGAAGGGGAAAGTTTCTCTCTACTCTGAACACAAGCTCAAACTCAGCTGACACTTCATCAGCTTCATCTGACGATCTATGTCGAAGATCACCACTGATGATGTTGATCTTTGGGCGGTTGTGGCTCAGTGGTCGAGTCGGTCGTCTCTCAACCAGAAGGTCTGGGGTTGGATCCCCAGCTCCTGCAGACACATGTCCGATGTGTCCTTCGCCAAGACACTTATCCCCAAGTTGCTCCCGCTGCTTCTTCGGCGGTGGCAGCCTCTACCATCAGTGTGTGAGTGTGTATGAATGGATGAGTTAATACTGATTAACTCTATTCACAGCAGCCTCTACCATCAGTGTGTGAATGTGTATAAATGGCTGCGTTAATACTGATGGACTCTTTACACAGCAGCCTCTACCATCAGAGTGTTAATGTGTATAAATGGATGCGTTAATACTGATTAACTCTTTACACAGCAGCCTCTACCATCAGAGTGTTAATGTGTATAAATGGATGAGTTAATACTGATTAACTCTTTTCACAGCAGCCTCTACCATCAGTGTATGAATAGATGAGTTAATACTGATGGACTCTTTACACAGCAGCCTCTACCATCAGTGTGTGAATGTGTATGTGTGAGAGGGGTCAGAAGACTAGAAGTTAACTCTTCACATTCAGGTCTGTTTACCATCTGTGAAACATCCTTGGATACTATGCAGCTCTCTCTCTTCATAACAACACAGAGACAGGCTGATTCTGCAGAACTCAGCTGGAGCTTTTGACTCTGTCACGCCACAACGGCATCTCAGTTTGTCTGAAGAGGGCAGAGAAGGTGGAGGAGTGAGCGGAGAGTGACCTGGTGTGAGCCCGATGGGGGGCTGGGTGAGGAGGAGTAACCCAGGCTGAGTTTAACTGCCTCCACGTTTGATTTTCACGTCAAATAAAGCTCTGGGTGTCAAATCTTAAATGTTCTGGTCTCCGTTCTCCTGAGCCTCTGGGTTTCATTTATTGTCTTTTTAAGGAGGCCGTGACAGTCGTTATATTTCATGTGGTTATCTCAGGTTGTATACTTTAGTGGTCGTGCAGGCGTCAATCGAGCAGCCTCCAGTCTGACCAGCTCTCTTTAACTGCGTGTAGAGTATCAGAGCAAGCCGCGCGTCCTTGTCCACGTTCCTCACAGATTTTCATCTGTGCTCTATCTTTGAAGTTTGCACATGTGGATTTCATCACTTCATCTGCGCGCTCATGCGAATCAGACACATCTGTGAAACACCTGATCCAGATGTTTCCAAACCCATGGCTGCTCAGACTGTCAGATCTTTAATATACTCTCTCTCTCCCTCCATATTTCTCACTCTCTCGCTCTCTCTCTCTCTCTCTCTCTCTCTCTCTCTCTCTCTCTCTCTCTCTCACTCTCTCACTCTCTCTCTCTCTCTCTCTCACAGGGTCAGGCAGAGAGAGCTTCGAGTCACTGACAGCTGGAAAATGGGACCTGAAGTGACCTCTGTTTGTTTTTTTAGGGTTACTGACGGACCACCCTCTCTCTCTCTCTTCCTCTTTACAGTTAAATCCGCTGACAAGGACCTTGAACTTTAAGCATGCAACTTTTCAAACCATAACTCAGCAGAAGCTTTCACGTTTGGGAGATTAATGATTTTCTTGCGGTCTTCTGAGAAAGCTTCACAAGGTGCTCTCAGTGTCAGAAGTTCAACACATGGACAAAAAATAAGACATAGTGTCAAGACTTATGTAAATCAGTGTAGTGATGAAAGATACAACAGAAAACTCAAAGTACTTGGTCTTTTTTTGATTCTCTGATTTTTTTTGAAATTTTCAAAATCCAAAACAAAAAAACGTAAAGTCAGCGTAAAAACCCTCTTAAAAGGCCGAAATGTGAAAGAATGTGATTGCATGTGAGATTCTCTGACAGCACTCGACATAAAAATGTGATTAAAAATGATTCAGGTGGAGAGGAGGAAACAACATCAGGAAGTGTAAACAATCAGCTTTAAGTCTGATTGGACACACAGGTGCTGACAGGAAGTGACCAGAAGCAGAGCACAAGGTACTGACAGGAAGTGACCAGAGGCAGAGCACAGGTGCTGACAGGAAGTGACCTGAGGCAGAGCACAGCTGTTAACAAGAAGTGACCAGAGGTGCTGACAGGAAGTGACCATCTTATTGATCAGTCACCTGAGTCTATGTCCGACACTCTCCGTCCGACATCACCAGCAGATCGCTCTGGTTTCTGAGCAGACTTTACTTCTTCTTGTCCCTCGGGTCAGAATGAAAATCCAAACGTGATCGTGCCTTTGAAGTCGTGGACGCGACACTCTGAAACACTCTCCGCTCTGCAACTTCAACTGTCTCTGTGTGTGTGTCCTCAGGCTTTGGCGTCACATCGAGCCTACCTGCTGACAGCTCGGGTCCCTTCAAAGGTGAGTCAGTCTCTGTTACAAGTTTTCTTCTTCTCAATCTCGCTCTTATTTCTGTCCTGCGCTGTGTTTACATCCCTCACAAATATTTCCTCTTTCTTCAGTCAATTCCCTCTCTTCATCTGCTCCTCCTCCTCCTCCTCCTCCTCCTCCCCCGACTGATCCAGGAGAAAAGTTTATCTGGTTTGATTCATCCTCCTGTTTCTCTAGTCTTCAGTCTACCTTTCTCTCCTTCTTCCTTGTCACTCTTCCTCCCTTTCCTCCTCCCCGCTTCCTCCCCCTCTTCTTCCTCCTCCTCCTCCTCCTGCTCCCTTTCCTCCTTCCCGCTTCCTCCCCCTCTTCTTCTTCCTCCCCCTCCTTCGCCTCCCCTTTGGGAATGTTTCGTTTTTGGTCATCTCAGACGTGCTGCTGCTTGTTCCTCCGATGAGAACTTTACTCTTTTTCTCTTGTTTTGGATTCTGCTCTGACAGAAGACACAACAAGTCCCTGCACATCCCTGACACACACACACACACACACACACACACACACACACACAGGTAGAATCAGGTGAGGGGTTTGTGTCCTACACTTCGGCTCTAAGATTTGTTCCCTGAAGATGAATCCTGCTGGTTTCACAGATCTGATGACTTCTTCTTTTTCTTGTGTTGACATGATGCGACGTGAAGTTTGTAACAAATAATCAAGCCAACAACCAAGCCGTCGTTCGTTTATCTCAGTGCTCGTAAAACTTTATGCCAGCTTCACTTCACGGCGGTGAGGAGTGACAGGTCTCACTCTGATTCAGTTTCAACAAATGGATTTAAAGATCACAGAAACAACGGATCAGGAGTCACAGAGGTCAGAAGTCTCTGTTCTGAACCCTGAGGGAGCAGTGTCTGTGTGAACTTGCACTTCTTTTAGGCCTCGCTCTATCACTCTCTCTCTCCTCTCCGTATGCTGACATCCAATACTTTTACCCACAATGCATCTGTGAGAAAAAACACAGCCTGTGGGAAAGGAAAACAGAGAGAGGAAGAAAAGTTTAACCTGGAGGGCGAGCGACAGACGGAGACATAAACAAACTGAAAGTTTAAAAAGAGAGAGAGAGAGGCTGGATATTTTCCGCTGAGCTCATCGAAAACTTGTAAACCTGATTTTACTTTTAAACTTTAAGAAGAGCTCAAACTGTTAGAGTCCTGACAATAAGAACCAGACGAGTCTCTGAAGATGATGGACTCAGAGAAAGGAAGCTTGAGATAAATCTAATAAAGATAAATCTGACTATAACTCATCAACTGTGTTTCACATTCAGCCTGAACACGTGAACTTCCTGCTTCTACGCGTCATCAGAGTTTAAACGCTTAAACACAGATCAAAAACTGCTTGTTCCTCAAACTCTTTTAACAACTCTCCCTTATGAGGACAGCAGATTTATATTTACAATATTTTAAATATTTTAAATATTTTAAATATTTACAGGTTACACCAGATCTCTTAATCCTGAAGGATGTGTCAGTTATCACACACGCTCTGCACACCAAGGTTGGGTTGGGAGCAAGCAGCAACCTCCAGTCTTGATGCTGAAATTAAAAACCTGCAGTTCCTGGAGTGTCCACTAGAGTCTGGCTGCAGAAGCACAGGAAGTCACATACACTCCCATTCTAAATATCCTGTTTTTACAGCAGAGATTAACATGTTTACAGCCTGACAAAAACACAAACAGGTCTGATTAGCTCATGTCTCGATCAGCACACACTGTACGGGGGGTGAATGTTTTGATGACTCATCCGTTTAGATTTGATGAAGGATAAGAGTTATTCACAATAAGGCGTGTAGCTGACCTGATTGACAGGCGGGCGCAGTTTAACGGTTTGTCAGGAGGCTTAAAACCCGCCTCAGCTCCAGCTCTCAGCCTGTCGTTAGGTTGACTAAAAGTTAGGCTGAGACAGCATTTCCAGCATGGAGACTGCCATCGATGGGACTTAAGAGCCCCCTGCAGGAACAGACGGGGGATGCTTTAAACATTCCTATTTACAATTTATTGCTGGGAGTGAAAAGGAAAGTTAAATCTGAGACCATTCTGTCACGAGTCAGCTTAAAAAACAAAAACACTCAGAAATGTAACTCAGACAAAACCAAGAATCCATTCTGCCAGCTGACCTCTGATCTGTTTACTCAGAGAGAGAGAGAGAGAGAGAGAGAGAGAGAGAGAGAGAGAGAGAGAGAGACGTGTGTGAACAGAGGGTGGTTTGTTCTTGGTGTGTACTGTCCCGGCAGAGAGAGGCAGAAAAAAAAGACAAAGACAGCTGGCAAGGAAAAAGACGGGAGGGGGCACTCGTACGCCTCTCGTCCTCTCTCTCTCTCTCTCTCTCTTTCGCCTGTCTCTACTTTTGTGATTGATTTCCCCTTTTTATTATCTTCCTCTCTCTGTGTTGACGATGCAGAAGGTTGAAGTCCCCTTCTTCTTTTATTTTCACTTTCTTTTTTCGTCACTCCTGATTCCCTCCCCCTCTCTCTATCTCTCCCTCCCTCTCTCTCTCTCTTTTCTCTCTCTCCTCTCTCTCCCTTTATTCTCTCTCTCTCTTTCCGTCTTGGAAGCTGTGTCACAGTCCGTTTTTATTTTCGGTATATTCCTCCTCCCTCTGGACTATGAGGGAAATGTTTGTGTTTGTGTCTGTGCTCCACTGATCACATTATGTTCCTTGTGTATCTCTCATTTATTTCCTTTCGCCAAACTTTGTTTGTGTCTCTAGTCTGTCTACAATCCCCCCAATGATGAGAAAAGTCCATCCTCTCCGTCTTTTGCCTGCTTCACTTTTCAGAAAATGTGTGCTCAAACAGGCCGTTTGGAGATTTTCCCTTCATGACATCACAAAGGGCAGTAACCCCTCCCCCAGGTGGGTGACACTCCCACAGCTAGGTGTTTGATCTGTCCTCTGAGTCTGCCTTCTCACTGTAAACAATAGGACATGGAGCGAGAAAGCCAGAGACACCCAAGCCCTTCCAGAAAGGGGGCGTGGTCAGACAACTCTTTATGATTTGGGAAATTTAACTATCTGTCTTCTGTCTCTGCTTAAAGGTCGAACACTCCTTCAGCTACCTGGATATCCAGGGAATCAGCAGCAACAAGCCCACTCAGGTAAACACATACTGCGCATGCACACACACACACACACACACACACACACACACACACACACACACACACACACACACAGGAGGCAGTAATCCACATTCCCGTTAATTAACAGAGTATAGAATCCTGGTGGAGAAGATTCACGAGTGTGATCAGGCTGAGTATGAAAGTTTAAAAAGACGTGTTTATAAGCGGGATTTAAAGATGGAGAGAGAGTCGGTGTTACGGATGTCTGGTGGTCTAGAGGCGGGGCGGGGGGGGGGTATCTGCTGAAGGCTCTGGAACTCATGGTGGTCATATGGGTGGGTCGGGTGGTGTAGTGAGCTGAATGTCTTTAATGTGCTGATTCTGAAATGAGTTCGGTGTTAGGTGGAAACTCTGGACTCTGTTAGCTTCATGCTGTTCCTTAAAAACAGCCAAAATTCTCCGCTCAGCTGCTCAGATTAATGAAGTCAGCATGGATGCTTTTTAACGCCTCCTCATGTCACCGTGCATGTGTCGCCCCCTGCAGTTGGTGTTGGAGTCCGAGCGCGGTCCATGGAGTCTGTGGCTGGGCTCTATGGAGGAGGTGGACGAGGTGATCGCTCACATCGGCAACTGTCTGCAAAAGATCTGTCCCGCAGCATCACCTGTGTATGTACCAACCAGAGCTCAGGAGGGAGGAGGGACACAGGGGGCGTTCAGGGAGGAGCAATCAGGGAGGAGCAATCAGGGCAGAGCAATCAGGGAGGAGCAATCAGGGAAGAGGATACAGGGAGGATTATTCAGGGAGGAGCATTCAGGGAGGAGCATTCAGGGAGGAGCATTCAGGGAGGAGCTTTCAGGGAGGAGCAATCAGGGACGAGGATACAGGGAGGAGTTTTCAGGGAGGAGCAATCAGGGAGGAGCATTCAAGGAGCAGCAATCAGCGACAATCAGAGAGGAGAGTTAGTGGTTTATTTAGAGACTAGCTCAGTTTTACAGCAGGCAGAGCTTCAGCCTTTATTTTTCTGTTGTCGAGGAAAAGAGTGAATGTTTTTGTTTCCCCCCTCACCTGTCATTATCTCCTCCCCCTCCTCCTCCTCCTCCTCCTCCTGTCTGTAAGGAAGAAAGGTGATGAAGTTGAGTCTGAAGCCCGCAGAGAGGACGGCAGCCCTGCAGGCCGTCTGGGACGAGCACAGCGCGGCTGATCTGGGACCCTGCGGTACACCAGACTCTGAAATCTGAACATAAAACAAATTAAAGCTAAACTTTTATTCTGCTGATGTGCAGTACAACAAAGAACATCGTGATCACACTCCCTCACTAAGCATCTAAATACATCTGAAGATGAATATTGAATATGTTTTGTTGCTGTTGATATGTTCAGAGTGAAGTGACATCCGAAACCTCCTGCCTCTGTTTCAGGTGGATTTTCTCATCAGTACAGGTGTGTGTGTGATTATCTGGGTCTGCCGTTCAGAGAGGAGGTCCAATGGGTCAGTGTCCACGCCAATCCTCTTCTACTTCCTCCTCAAACATCTTTGATTGTTTATACATTTCAGGGCTTCTCTCTTTGTCTACCGGCTTAATGTTTTAATCCATGTTTCTTCGGTTTCTTCCTTTACTTTCTTCCTAATTTTCTTGTTTTTTTTTTTTCATTTTTGACTCTTCCTGTCTCCTGTAGTTCTCAGATTTTGGTGTCAGATTTCCTTCACTGCTGTGTTTTTTTTTTTTTGTTTCTTAACCTGTATGATATATATTCCATTATTAATGTAATAAATTAGCCATACTGTATCTCTTTATATTTCCCACTGGGCAAAGTGTGTTTACCTGCAGCACTAAATGATGCAGACACCTGGCCCGGTCAGCTGACAGACAACATGAGATGTTAGGAGTCTCTAGATGAATGAATGTTGGTGCCTTGTTATGAGCTTTAAAGGGGAACAAGACCGTAAACCACTGCAGCAGGGTAGCTTTCAGATGTGTGACTGAGTAGTCGTTTTGCACACCGCCATGGAGCCGATGTTCTCCTCTCTGTTGTCTCACCTGTTTTCATCCCCTCCCCCCTTCCCCTCCAGGATGTGGACACCATCTATCTGACCCAGGACACCAGAGAGCTCAACCTGCAGGACTTTGTTCACCTGGAGAACAGGTACGGACTGCAGACTCTTGCTGGTCTGCTGACTCGGGTTTGTGTTGTTTTGATGCACCGACAGATTAGATCAGATCCAACACAGATCAGAGCCGTGTGTTTGTGTCTGTGCGTGTCTGTGTGTTTCCTGCAGAGATCTGGTGGCGATCGTCGCAGCTCTGGAGTTCAACCAGTGGTTCACTAAAGTCTCCACCAAAGATTACAAACTGGTAACTCTGAAACCTCCCAGTTACACTTTCAACTTACAAGACAAACATCAGATATAACCAGGTTACTGTGTGTGTGTGTGTGTGTGTGTGTGTGTGTGTGTGTGTGTGTGTGTGTGTGTGTGTGTGTGTGTGTGTGTGTGTGTGTGTGTGTGTGTGTGTGTGTGTGTGTGTGTGTGTGTGTGTGTGTGTGTGTGTGTGTGTGTGTGTGTGTGTGTGTGTGTGTGTGTGTGTGTGTGTGTGTGTGTGTAGTCCACAGATGTGTGCGATCAGATCCTCCGAGTCGTGGCTCGATCCAGTCGGTTGGAGGAGCTCCTGCTCGACAACGCTGGACTGAAAAGGTCAGAGCTCAAATGTCAGTCGTGTAAAGACATTTAGTTTATTTGTTTGTGAGCCAGCTGACTGTGCCCAACGCCTCAAGGTTATGACATCATGAACATGTTTCCATCGATAACTGAATATGACGGTTTGTTTCTGTTTTCAGCGATTTTGCTCAGAAACTGGCGAGCGCTCTGTCACACAACCCGGCGTCCACGCTACACACGATCGATCTGAGCAACAACTCCCTGGAGGACAAAGGTAAACACACACACACACACACACACACACACACACACACACACACACACACACACACGGTTGGTCTCTAGCATGCGTTAGCTTGCAGTGTAGCTACAAGCAGTAAACGTACACACTACATCCTGCAGGGGGCGGGGCTTCAGGGGGCGATGAGCCCAGGAGGAGGGGCCCAGTTTGAATGTTTACAAACATTTCTACTGACTCCATATTTAAATATTGTCCGTAATATGCAGCTGTGAATGTTTTTCCTATTAGACACGTTGGGCTCTTAAATGCTTCACTCCTTTTGATCCCTTCAGCTGTGGCTGCTAACTGAACTCTAACGTGATGTTTCAAAGCAAAGGTAGCTGATCAAACTACAGCCACTAACAGACTCTCGTGTTTTAAGACCTTTAAGTCAGAGACTGAGATCTTCTGTTGAACCACAAACAGCTGGTTGTTTATTGCTGCCTCACTCTCTTTGTTTGTCTGTTTGTTTGTTTGTGTTACTCAAATATTTACAAACACCCGAGTCAGACCATGTCAGTGTCTAAACCAACTCTTTAACACATTTGTCAACTAGAGCCAAAAAGAGAGAGACAAAATAAGCCTTGATTAAATACTGCAGTTGAAGTTGTGCGCCCTCAGGTGGCCGTGTGTGAGACTGACGCCTGTAATGACAACATGTGTTCGTCTCTGCAGGTGTTTCTGCTCTGAGCGCTCAGCTCTCCAAACTGCCCCTGGGTCTGAAACAGCTGCACCTGTCCCGGACCTCCATATCCCCCAAAGGTGACGGTGCAGAAAAACAAACTCCGATGTCTTGAAGCTTCAACATCATCCTGATTTTATCTGTTTGAACACTGAGGTTTTCATGTGTTTCAGGTGTGAACAGTCTCTGTCAGGCTCTCTGTAACAACCCGGCCGTGTCCTCCGCCCTCACTCACCTGGACCTGTCGGGAAACTCACTCAGAGGAGACGACCTGCAGGTATGCAAGGCCGATCATGAGACAGATGAACGGAGATGAAGTCGAAGTCGAGTTCTTAGAGAGTTTATAGACCTCTAATGTGTTTGAATGACGGCACTGATTTGTTGTTTTGAACAGAACCTGAGTAACTTCCTGAGTCACTCAAACGTCCTGCAGACTCTGGATCTGTCCAACAGTGACTGCTCTCTGGAGCAGGTAACACACAAACACACACACACACACACACATATATAAACACACACTGCAGGGGTTTTGTGCTTAAGCCCTGTATGTGACTTTGAGTGTCTTTTTTTAACTCTTTTTTTGTTTGGTGCGTTTTTTTTTTTCAGGTGTGTGCCTCTCTGCTGCGAGGATCTTTGAAGCATCTTTCCGTCCTCAACATGTCAAAGAGTGTCTTCTCCCACAGGTCAGAAACTTGACCCACACACACCTCCATCACAAAACAGTGTGAGTCTGAATGATTCTGTTTCTGTATTTTCACACGTTTCTGGTTCACACAGGAAGTGCAAAGAGGTCCCTCCGTCCTTTAAGCAGTTCTTCAGCAGTGCTCAGGCTCTGACCTCCGTCAGTCTATCGGGGACCAGGCTGCCTCTGGAGGCTCTTAAGTAAGAACACAAACCCCCAACTTTGGATTTTAGAGAAACAGTGAGTTTATACATGCCAAGTCTTGAAGAGCGAGTGACATAAGAAATCTGGACGTTCACTCTTTAAACAGGATCAGAATTAGTCTTTTCTGGTGTTATTGAACAACGATCAGGTCGATGATTCACTTTCTCTCCGCAGAGGATTGTTGTTGGGTCTCGGCTGTAACCCCAACCTGAGCGACGTGTCTCTGGATCTCAGCTGCTGTGAGGTAAAAGCCTCTTGATTCAAACACACTGCTGCACTGTTTAAATTCTGACAAAGATGTCAAATAAAACAGCCGTCAATGAATGTGAAGATGTTTGGATCTGACCGTGTTTGTCTCTCAGCTGCGGTCGGCGGGCTCTCAGATCCTGGAGGGCTGCATCGCTGAGATTCCCAACATCACCAGTCTGGACCTTTCTGACAACAGTCAGTTTTTTTTTTTTTTTTTTTTAGATTGGAGTCATTGTTGATGTCACTTGGATGTTCATGCCGTCGTGTTGTCGTTTTCAGGTCTGGACATGGATCTGACCACCCTGCTGGTCTGGCTGGCGAAGAACCGTTCGATCCGACACCTCTCACTGGGCAAGAACTTCAACAACATCAAGTCCAAGTGGGTCCCACAGTCACAGCCAACTCTGTCATAAACACTTAAGTCTGTATTATGTCTTTTTAACAAGTCTTAATGGTGTTATCATCTCTCTGCAGAAACGTGGCTCCGGTCCTGGACAACCTGGTTCATATGATCCAAGAGGAGGATTCAGTGAGTCAAACTTTAAATTCAGAGGGTTAGGGTTAGGGTTCTTCATTGTTTGACCCTGAAGCTCTGAACACTTCTTCAAACACCTCGCCTGTGATATCTTATGTTGTTTCAGCCGCTGACCTCTCTGTCTCTGGCCGACGCCAAGCTGAAGGCCGACCTCTCCATCGTCCTCAACGCTCTGGGCAGCAACGCTTCTCTGACTACACTGGACATCAGCGGGAACTCCATGGGGGACATGGGCGCCAAGATGCTGGCTAAAGCTCTGCAGATCAACACCAAGCTCAGGTGAGCAGAGAAACCGTCGACCATAGCCTGTCACGATGTTTGGACAATTTCAATTAATCTGCAACTGTTCGTGTGTGTGTGTGTGTGTGTGTGTGTGTGTGTGTGTGTGTGTGTGTGTGTGTGTGTGTGTGTGTGTGTGTGTGTGTGTGTGTGTGTGTGTGTGTGTGTGTGTGTGTGTGTGTGTGTGTGTGTGTGTGTGTGTGTGTGTGTGTGTGTGTGTGTGTGTGTGTGTCTCTCTCTGCAGGACGATAGTGTGGGACAGAAACAGCGTGAGCCCTCAGGGTCTACAGGACGTGGCTGCTGCTCTGGAGAAGTACGTTAGTCGCCTCTCTGTGAGAAGATGTTGAGGTGTATTTATTTAAAATTTAAATTGTCCTCATCTTCTCCGCTCTTCATCAGGAACTACACCATCCGTTTCATGCCCATCCCCATCATGGACGCCGCTCAGGCTCTGAAGGCGAGTCCGGAGAAGACGGAGGACGCCTTGCTGAAGGTTAGTTTCCTTTAAAGTTTATTTAATATTACAGTTCTGTAAAAAAATCAAGTCCACTGGATTCTGTTCAAGGCTCTGCCCCTAAAGTCTGCAGGTTGGTGCATGAACATGAAGAGCAAATCAATGTCTGAGGTTCTGGGTCAGAGTGTAGGGGTGGAGGAGGTCAGTAATGTACTGGGGGGAGGGGGGGGTTTGTAGGTGAGGAGGAGGGTTTTGTACATGATGCAGGAGCCCTGGCAGCTGAGTTCTGCACACACCTGAGTATTCTCTGTGTTGTGTTCCTGCAGATGGAGCAGTACCTGCTGAGGAACCACGAAACCAGGAAGTACCTGCAGGGGCAGGCGTACAGGCTGCATCAGGGGATCGTCACGACGACCACACAGCAGGCAGGAGGACGAAAACCTGATGATGATATTACTGTCATAACTGATCTACCTGATGGTTGTTGTGTGACTGTTCGCTCCTCTCCTCTCTACTCTTGTGTGTGTGTGTGTGTGTCACAGATGATGGACACGATGTGCGTGAAGGTTCAGGACCACCTGAACTCTCTGAGGTTCACAGAGACCGGCTCCGTGCAGGACGACATGAAGGCAGCCGAGAACCTGATGAAAGACGCCCGAAACTCCAAGACGGTAAGAGACGGGAATACGCCTCTTTTCAAACCTTCAGAGATCTCACACACTGAGCAGGAACAGGACATTTCAACGTGTCCTGCCACTCTATGTGCAGCCGTCTCCAGACATCACACATTTAGAGTTAAAGGGAATCGTTCCACCTCAAAGAAGATTTAGAGTCCAACGCGTTGACGAATGTGTTCACTGGAGAATCGAGTTCTGTGAACACGTGAACAATAACAACCTTTCCCCGTCATCTTGTTTACCTCCAGCTGCTCCCGAACCTGTACCACCTGAAGAGCGGCGGCTCGAGGGGGGCATGCATGGGGGCCATCCAGAACAAACTGGAGTCGATGGCTGGAGAGGTGGCAAGGGTGATGGACGAGCAGCTGCAGGTATAGCGCTGCAGATTTCTTCGAGAACATGTTGAGTCTACTGTGATGTGATTGTGTACCAACTTGAACCTGGTCCTCCTCAGACGATGCTGGCGTCGATGGTGGATGCAGCCGACAGTCTGTGTCCTCACGTGATGAAGAGGAGCGGCCTTCGTCAGGAGCTGCTGAACGCCGGAGCGGGGAGGATGAGCGTCCCCCGCAGCTTCATCACCACCACGCTGCTGGAGCAGAGCGGGGTCGACATCATCAATAAGATCAGGTCTGTGTGTGTCTGTGGGAGGGGGATGTTAGACGGGTGTTAATGGGCTCCTGTAGTGGACACTTGAGGAACTGCAGTTTTTTTTCTTTTAGAAACAGCAGAGCTTACCCTTGGTTTTTTTCCTGCTCCTGTAAGTCTCTGCTGTAGTTTCCAGTTTGTGTCCAGCTCAGGGTCTGCAGGGATCCTTCTTAAGTCTGTTTTTAACACTGATAAATCTGCAGTTGACAGAGAGTCCTTTTGTAACATGTTTTCTGGGTCAGACGAGGATTTTGAACACCAAACGGGATTTCCTCTCCTGTGTTTCACTTTTGTGTTCTCTGTCTCTCCCGTGTGACACAGTGAGGTGAAGCTGAGCATGGCGTCCTTTCTGTCTGATCGCATCGTGGACGAGATCCTGGAGTCTCTGTCCAGATCTCAGCACACTCTGGTCAGTGACTTCTCCGTCTGTCTGTCTTCATGTCTCTGTTTCTGTCCCTTTGTCCGTCTCTCACTTCTTTCTCTCCTCCTCAGACGGATCACCTGGTCAGGAAGGCTCAGCCTCTGCTGCATCAGGACCCTCGGCTGGAGACAGAAGTTCTGGATGAGGAGGTTCTGCAGCCGGTGGACCACGACCAGGAGCAGAGACGGAGTCAGGACCGGCACAAGAAGCACAGGCTGGAGGACATGGACACGTGCACGGTATGAAAACACATCACAAGTTGATTTAGATCTGTGCATGTACCTGAGAACAGCAGCAGTATCGGCCAACCAGCTAAATCTTTTATTTTAAACATCGGCGCTGATTTTCACAATCGGTGCATCTCCTCAAGAAAAGTTCAGACAAACATTTGTTCGCAGTTTTGCAGTGTAAAGCACGCGTGGATGTATGAGTAGACAGCTGTAAACGCACACACCACCTCCTGAAGGACTCAACTTGTGACACAAATCCGTTTGTCTCTTTTTTAGATGACTCCGAAATCCAAGAGGAAGAGCATTCTGGTCCGGATGCTACGGCCTGTATCTGTGGCATTTGGTGAGTTAAACAGTTCCTTTGGCTCAGCTTTAATTTAGATGACTGTTGTTTCGGTTTGTTCCTGGCTAAAAGTCTTCTTCAGAGTTTATTTTTTAGTCCAGATGTGGTGTGAATCTGTTGCTTCATGTCTCGCCCAGCAGAGATGGAGTTCGACCTGGACAAGGCTCTGGAAGAGGTTCCTATCCACGTGGAGGACCCCACTCCTCCTCCTCCTCCTGCTTCTTCAAAGCCAACAGACAGAATGTCTTCCTACTACGCAGACTTCCCCCCTCCTCACACTACCGTGGGTTCATCAGCTGTCTGTTTGGGCGAGCTGCTGCCCGTCGAGCACAAGATGCTCGAGCATCACACCAAACTGCGACCAAAACCCAAGAAGAGGACGAGACCCAGCCGACCCCACGTATGTCTTCATCTGAGAGAAATCCTCAAAGTATCACTTATACTCACCCTTTGTAACCACAAAGATTCATCATTGATTTTCACATAAACCTGTTAAAAACAACCAAGGCCTTTTGCCTCTTTGTACAAACATTAAAGACGCTGCAGCTGATCCTGCTGTTGAGTTTGTAACAACCAAATACTTAAATGGAATTGACTTTTTTCTCTCTTAGTTTGCCTTTCATTTCTCTTTCATTCCTGCCGCCTCTCTTCTAGCGGAAGGCCGCGACCGGCAGCGCAACACCACATGAGGCCGAGCAGAACAGCATCATGGGAAAGTTGGACGAGGGCCTGGATGACTTCTTCTCCAAGAAAGTCACCAAACTGAGCTTAAAGTAAGAGCCATGTGTAAGAGGTTTAGGTGAAGAAAATAAGAAAAGTTGTGTCAGTTTTCATCCTTTTGATGGTGCTTATTTTTAAATCTGGTAAATAGATCGATGTATTGTCGGCATGAAGAGTCATCCAGTACTTTTTAAACATTGGCAAACCTCTGATACTGAATTAGCTGCTAAGTCTGAATGAGAGCATATTAAGTTCTTACTTTATCTTCTGCAGACTCTCCAGTATAAGGGGTCTGTCCTCCGGTGCTCAGGACCTAACAGACAAGAAACGTGAATCCAGAAAATCAGGTTTCTTTAACCTCCTAAAAAACCGGACATCACGTTCTGAAAAAAGCCATGGAGCTACCTCCATCACTCCCCATCACCTCACCTCCCCTTCTTCTTCCCCACACACCTCCTCCATCAGCCCACTGAGTGAGGAGACTCCACCTATGTTGCCCCCTGCTGGCCCTGTGGTGGAGCCTCGTCAGGAGCTCCTCAGGGCTCAATCCTCGGACCACCCGGACTCTGAAATGGAGGCTCCTAAGAATGATTCTGACGCTGCTGAGGAGGAGAAGGAGGAGAGCGTTGAGGGCAATAAACTGGAGAAGGAGAACAGTGAGGAGGAGAACATGCAGAAGAAAGAGAACCCACACGTCCCCCGACATGTCGGTGTTCCTATGATGGGGATGGACCTGATGGCTGAGATGAAGGCGAGGCAGGAGAGGATGGCTGCAAAGAAGGTGGGTGGAGCCATGGCTCGACTTTTAGATCCTTTTTAATAATCATTTGCGCGACTGTGTCTGTCATCTAAGTATACATTTATTTTCTTCTGTTGCTAACAAACAAATAAGAGTTGCAAAACAAAGGGCTCTATCGTATAAAGCGTCTTGGTGTGCAGTACAGGTGCCATTCCTGTGTTCCAGCCAACACAGCTGTGTTCTTTACTCTCAGCGCTCACATTGTGTAAATATCAAATTTACAAGTGCCCAAGTTAGTCCCAGGGAAGTTTTAGTCTTAAACGAGTTGTGGTCAGGCCGATGTATAATCAGGCACCTTAATCCAACCTCTTGGCGCCCTGCACCTCACTTAGCACTCAGATATTGAGTGGCGTGATTAGCAAAATGTAGTCAGACACAAGCACGAGAAACGCACTTTATGCCACCGTTTGAGGTTTCTGTCTGGACTTTGGAATGAATAAAGTCTCTTTGTTTAAGATGTTCTTGTATTATAGGCTCTGTGTGTCTGTTTTCAGTCGGAGTCTCTGTGTCTGATGGACAAAGTCGACGGTGACACGGGTGAGTTTCTTCAAAACTTCATAACAATCTGCAGACTTACGCAGCTTCACCATCTGTGTTCAACGTTAAGAGCGCCATGCAGCGGCCGTCACAAGGTAAACTGAACTTGTCTCCGTTATTTTCCTTCAGACAAGTCAGACGTCCAACCTGTTGTTACAGCCGACTCAGAGGAGTCCAAACCAGAGCCGGCTCCCCGCTCAAAACCTCCCAGCGTCACCCCCAAACCTCACCCACCTCAGGCCATCAAACCCCCACTAGGGCCCCGGATATCTGGGCCAACCAGTCCCACCATTCCTGGACCGAGCAGCATTGTCATGGGTAGGATCTCTCAGACCTTTGTTGTAACTGTGAATCTTTGATTGTTTTAAATATCATCTTCTCATTATATACAGAACATGTTTGTTGTCTGTGAGTTATCTCACAGTTTGACTGATCTCTGGTCACCAGATGAGTCCTCTGAGGATCCAGCAGGCTGCTTGTCTCCCAAAGGACCACTTCCTGCTCCTCGCCTGAAGAGGGCGCCGTCAGAGCAGGAGAGAGAGAGCACGAGCAGCGAGCCTGCAGGACCTCTGTCTCCGCTGGAGGGTGAGTTCTTCTTTTTCATGATGAGCAATGATGACTCAGAGTGACCGGGAGAAATGCTGAAAATAAAACGCTCAATTAAAGAGGTGACATCGTGGTTAATAACGCCTTCAGAGACATGTTTGACGCCTCTGTACACAAATACACACACATCCACCACACACACACACACACATCCACCACCCCCCACACACACACACCACACAAACACATACACCACACAAACACACACACGCAGATGTTTGAATTTTCTAATTTCTCTGTCTTCAGTTGAGTCTCCCGTAGACGGCGATGCGTTCGAGGCCCCCGATGCTGCGGTTGAATCCGGAGTCGGAGGCAGACAATGGTCGTCTCTGAAGACTTCAGCCAGTCCTCCTGCTGCGAGCGAGGACGACCGTGAGCGAGCAAAGTCCCTCCCCGCCTACGGTGCGTCCAATCAGAACATCTGCTCTGTTTACGTCCCTTCAGCTCTGTCTTTCCATTTCCTGACTGGACGCCATGTTTGAAGGCAGAGGGTCATTTTAGAGAGACAGTCGTTCCGTGTTGAATAAGACTTCATGTGTCTGATGATACTCCAGACAGACCACATATAAGCTGATAAATGTCTGACAACATTCAGAGTATCCCATGTTTTTAAAGGGTTCAATTCCCCGATCTAAAGTCATCGATTTTCTTCAGTGTATCCGAGGTCGTGTCACGGTGGCAGCGAGCGCAGTGAATGTGGTGAAAATGTCCATCTGAAACCATTTCAAACTGTTTCTACCCTTTAAAAAAAATTAAAATAAAAAGAAATACAGACATATTTGATAGTTCCACCTCTCGTTCTCGTTCTTACCTGTATTCTCTCTTTCCATCTCTCAGCGAGTCCTCCTTCTCTGAAAGACACAGACGTCAGTCCAGCTGAGGAGGAGGTGACGTCTTCAGCCGACGACCTCAAGTCTGACCACAAGTCCGAGGACGAGTCTGATGACACTCCCTCAGAGTGAAACCAACGACATGATGCTGCTTCACCTTCAATCCCAGAGGAACGTTCAGGAGGTCAAAGAAGCACAGACAGACTTTGAATTATTTTTTTATTTCTACACTTCTGATGAGGAACATGTGAGCAGCGGAGACTCTGTGACTTTCGTCGTGCTGTAGTGGATGTTTCCTGACCGTGGCTGGATGCTGAAGCAGCACGTCTCAGACTGTGACGGTATCTCTGTTCTGCAGGTTAACTGAAGCGCCTACATCAGACCCGTGTGGAGATCTGACTGCTCAGAATAACTGTCCACACTTTGGTTTCACTAAACCAAAGAGAGTTCAGACTTCCGCAGTAAAAACAATATAGATCTATATTTACCAAACCTGCCTTCTGATTCTGACTGCTGAACTGTGAACTCTAATTAAATATCCTCATGCACACGGTGACATTCGGCATTCATTAGGAGGCCTTTTGTACAATCAGAAATATTCCGTGTATTATAGGAAGCCATAAATGTGTTGATGTCCTTTATTTCATAGACGAAGATGTCCTCGTTTTTTCCTGCACGCTGACTTATCTCAGCGCTCCTAATGTGACCACACACCTGATCAAACCTGATCACACTTACTCTGCAGGTGAACATTTGGTCCAAAAGTTCTGCACGTCACGTTGACTTTAAACTTTTATTCCCACATTGAAGAATCAGTTTTCATGCTGAACATCACGACGTAGGTTCAGTTCTGCAGACTTCTCTAACTGGCAGTTTTCCACAAGACCCGTGTGTGCATTGTTCCGTCTCCACCGTGGTTTCTCTCTGTCCGCCGGCAAGCGCTCTCCCGGGTGGGCTCTCCTGTTTGTGGAGGGTTAGTGCAGTGGAGCGTAGCCATGAGTAGATAGGCGTGTTCAGCGCCTGTTTTGGCGTAATGTTGAGGAAGTGATGGAATATACGTTCAGCAGTCTGCATGTTTATTTATTTAGAAGTCGACAGGACGCTCTGTGCGTTTACTCGTCTGACTTTCTGTCTGCTCTGTTCACCTTGACCCGTGCTTGCAGCGAGCTCTGTCACTCGGCTTTAACTTCCCGTTGAACATGTCACTCGGCTTTAACTTCCTGTTGAACATGTCACTGAGCTTTAACTTCCTGTTGGACATGTCACTCATCTTTAACTTCCTGTTGGACATGTCACTCATCTTTAACTTCCTGTTGAACATATCCCTCAGCTTTAACTTCCTGTTCTTCTCTCACTGGTGGATCATCTGTACATATGTAAATAAATATCGTGTCTTAAAGAGGTTTTATCATATAGACTGTTCTTATTGGTTTATAATTATTATCATATAAGTGTAATATTGGATTATGATTTTAAACACGTGGGGGTTTTTATGTTGATGGGAAAATTGGACTTTTTAATGAATGAATAATACATTTTATTGTTGATATTTCTGTATTTGTTTGTTTATATCAATAAATCCTATTTCACGGTTTACACTGTACACTCTCTAACGCACACACACACACACACACACACACACACACACACACATCCCACCCCCTTTCTCTCTTTACCCCACACACTCTCTCTCTCTCTCTCTCTCTCTCTCTCTCTCTCTCTCTCTCTCTCTCTCTCTCTCTATTTCCTTTACACACACACTCTCTACCCCCCCACTGTTAGTCTCTCTCTTTCCTCCCTCCTTCATATTCGAGCTGCGGAATCCGGTTTGATTCCAGGGATATCTGAGACCTCACCGTACCTCACACAGAACATTTTTCCCCTTTGTTTTTATTTTCCTTCCTGTTTGGTTGTCCCCGTCTCCTCCTCTGGACTCGTCTTCAGCACCATGGACAGCACCGCGGAGAGGCTGGACGCTGCAGGATTCTTACAGACTTGGCAACAGTTTGACATCAAGGGTGAGAGAGAAGAATACATAATTACTGTTTCATTTAAAGACAATAACGAGAGGTCACCTCATATATTTATGGAGATCCTCTTACAGAAGACACAACACGATAAATGTCAAGAAATAAGAAACAAATCTGAAATATAAATTCCCAACTTGTGTTTCTGGAGCGTTGCACAGATAGTCCAGTTGAGCTGCACTTTTACTAAATACTGTCCTGTTTGTGTTTTTAGATAACGGGTTCATAGAAGAGAAGCAGCTGGATGCCTTCTTCCAAAGCATTTTGGGAAAATCTGAGATGAAGGTAAAGAGATAAAATAATGAAGTTGGGTTTGAAGTCTGTTTTTTTTATTCCAAAATGTAAAAAAAGAATTAAGTGAAATCTTTTTTTTTGAGCTTTGGGGGTGAGGGTCATTTTTTTGACCTCAAAGAAAATTATTCTAAAGGCTTTCTGTTTGTCGAGTGTCTTTGTCTTATACTGCCACCAGGGGGCAGCAGAACACAGACAGGGTCTTTAAAAAGATAACTTTGTGTACTGTAGTTGTTTGTATTTAAACAGTGATTGTCACATTGAATCTCCTGCTGATGTTTGTGTTGTTTTCAGATGGAGGAGATGACCGCGGACAGAATACGACGACTGAGGGAGAGTCTCCCGTCTTCACCGGGTGACACAGACAACAGACGTCTGCACATACACGAGGTACAAACTCATGGAGATAAAAGGCATTTTCAGACCACAGGAACTTTTTCATAGTTCTAGGAACTGTTGGAACCTAAGAGTCTAGTTAAGACTCAGAGTCCTGTTGTGAAGGGATTCATTGGCAGAGCGTAGTGGGCGGGCAGGCTGGAGTGTAGACCTGGATGAGAGAGTTTAGGTAAGGAGAGTTTTAAATTTGATGTGAGCAGTAACTGGGAGCCAGTGGAGGGAGATGAACAGCCCAGTGATGTGTGCTGGTTTGGCCTTATTATTGTTTTCCCAGCTGGCCGCCATGATTCTTCCAGAGGAGGAGAACTTCCTGCTCCTTTTTCGCCGTGAAACGACGCTCGACAACAGCGTGGAGTTCATGAGGGTGAGGATCTCACAGAGCCAGATTTATTCCAAACTTTGGACTTCATAATGATGATGAAGGACAAACATTGCACTTTTAAGAGAATCCTTTTATTCCTGATCCATTCTGTATATTAAAGGTGGATTTCTTTTTGTATTTAGTCAGAGTAAAACTTATCGTAACATCAGTGTTTTTCTCTGCTTCCTGTAGATTTGGAGAAACTACGACACAGACAGCAGCGGCTTCATCTCAGTCAATCAGCTCAAGGTAACGGCTGGTCAAGTCTTACTGCAGCAGAGCAAAGAACGGGTTCTTTCTTTATGAGGTCAGTGAGTCAGAAACGTAAAAAATCAGAACCGAGGTGTTTTCAGGACCTGGGGCTTCAACTGACCTGCATCATTTAAGATTTAAGAAAAGTGACATCAACGACCATTTATTAGAAATGTATTCTTCTGGACACTGAGGAGAGAGGTCAACATGCTTCGGACGGACGGATGTATGGTTGGATAGTGGGATGGTTGGACAATAGATGGATGGATGGATGGACATACAGACAAATAGATGGATATACGGATGGATGGATGGATGGATGGACGGATGAATGAAAGGACGGATGGATAGTGGGATGATAGATCGATGGATAATTGGATGGATGGACGGATGGAGAGACGGATAGACAGACTGACGGACAGATGGATGTATAATTGGATGGATGGATGAAAGATGGATGGACGGACATACAGACAGACAGACGGATGGATGGATAATTGGATAATTGGATGGATGGATGGATTTGACGAACGAATAGATGGATGGATGGATTGATGTTCCGTCTTTTTGTCCCTTCAGGGCTTCCTTCAGGACCTTTTCCTTGAACATCGGCGGTCCATCACACCCGACAAACTGGAGGAGTACACCGTCACCATGGTAACAGGCAGAGATGGCTCAGACGTTACACCTCTAAACACCTTTCTCTCCTCGTTCACTCTAAAGTCTTTTTCTTTTTTCTCTTGTGAAGATGAAGATGTTTGACAAAAACAAAGGTGGCCGACTGGACCTGAACAACCTGGCCAGGTGTTTATACCTGTTTGTGTTCTGATATCATTTAAACTGAGTCCTCTGTGCCTCTGACTGTAACTCTTACCTTAAGCTTTATGTGTCTCCTGGTTTTGAAGGATTTTATCCCTGAAGGAGAACTTCTTACTCAAGTTCAAGATGGACGTAAGAAAGGAAAAAGAAAAACACATTTAACAACTCTCCTCATTTATGAACATGATGCCTTACATGAATTGGTAACCTGCTGTTTTTGTTTTCAGGCTTGCAGTCAAGAGGACCGGAAGAGAGATTTTGAGAAGATATTCGCTCACTATGATGTTGTGAGTTTGATTGTAGAGTTTTGTTTGTCAATTAACCAAGAAGCTCCTCTTCATAAAACGTGAAATCTATAAAATAACACGTAAAGATGAGTTGTTCCACCTGTGCAGGCTGGCCATTAAAGACAGAGTCAGCAGTTTACTCCTTCAAATAAAATACAGACTTCTCCTAAAGTAAAGCTGCTCCATCGTCCCTTCTGGGCCTCCATACATGTGTGGTGGTGACTGTTTGCAGAGACTCTGTCCTCTGACTGGATTTTACTGTTCTGGTTGACTCGGGACATTTCTGGGCGGAGCTGGTGTGTTTCCTCCAACGTGTGTGTGTGTGTGTGTGTGTGTGTGTGTGTGTGTGTGTGTGTGTGTGTGTGTGTGTGTGTGTGTGTGTGTGTGTGTGTGTGTGTGTGTGTGTGTGTGTGTGTGTGTGTGTGTGTGTGTGTGTGTGTGTGTGTGTGTGTGTGTGTGTGTGTAGAGTAAGACAGGTGAGTTGGAGGGTCCTGAGGTTGATGGCTTCGTGAAGGACATGATGGAGCTGGTGAAGGTAAAACTTGTTCTGTTGTTGTTTTGAACTTTACCTGATATTAAGATTGTAGCACCATTAACAACAAACAAAACTCTCTGTTGTCTGTGTGTGCGTGAGTTATTTGATGCTTCAAAATGAGGTAATACTGATGATTGACAGCTCTGTTTGTTGCATAAGGTTCTTTCAGTGGAATAATGAACACACACACACTGACTTCTGTAAACCCCTCAACCCTACCCCCTCCCCTCCCTTCTCCTCCGTCCCCTCATCCTTCCTCCCCTCCTGCAGCCCAGCATCAGCAGCACTGACCTGGACCTGTTCAGGAAAGCTCTGATGCATCACTGCGACATCAACGGAGATGGAAAGATCCAGAAGAACGAGCTGGCTCTGTGTCTGGGCCTCAAACACAGCTAACAGTTTCATTCTCCATCAGTGTTCCCCTTTAACCTCCACTTCTTTACCTTTTAACACACAATATTTATTCTGCCCTCCCGTCTGACTCTTCCTCATCTTCATCTTTCTGCCCCTCAGTTTGGTGTTGGATGGATATCACATTAAATTACATAATATTATTTTTATTATGAGCACAGTAAATGTCCGTCAGACATCCGATAAATGTGGATTTAAATGCAGCCATGATGAATCCACAGGTTATAGTTGGGGTTTTATTCATGTATGCCGTGCTTCTTCTTTATCCTGTGATGATATAAAAATGTTTGCTTGAAAACATTAATGTCAAAATGATAAATGATGTTTAATAAAAGTTATTTCATCTTTGTCAGCTGTGTTGTTCTTTTCTCAGACGATCTAAGAATGAATCACAAAACAGCGTGATTGGTTGGTTGGGATAAATGCCGTGTCAAGACCTCTCTGACTGGGGTGGCCCACCTGGGCTCTGACTTATGTAGGGGTGGCCTGAAGTTTGTGCACTCATTAATCCTTTCTTTAACCGTTAATGATCTGTACTTGTAAGTAAAACAATTTTGCAACATCTAAATCTTCTTAACTTAATCCTTCATTGACTCAAAAAGAAGAACAAAGTCACAACTTTAAAGACTGAGGAAATTGAAGGCAAACTCTTGCACACTGTCTACTTTTTCAGAAATACATTTGTTGGCAATTTTTGCCAACAATGGCATGTGAGACACCGGCAAGAGTTCGCTTGCAAATCTTTATGGACTCATTTCCTGAGAACCCGTCTCATTAGATGTGTTCAGTTTTCATTTACAACTCAGAGAACTAAGCAGCTAGACTAGTTCGTTTTGCCTTATTTCTAAGTATTTCTACCCTACACCTTGATAAGGGGGCCTTATTCAGCTGCGAGTGTGACTTCTAACGGAGTGCACTCCGTCACGGAGGGGGAGGGTGTAGGGGTTGGTTTGAAAAAGGGCCTTAGGTTCAGAAACTGAACGTCGCCAGTTCAAATCCCAGTGCGGACCAAAATACGGAAGTCAGTCTGGTAGCTGGAAAGATGCCAGGTCACTTCCTGACTACTGCCGAGGTGCCCTTAAGAAAGGCACCAGACCGCTGACAGCTCTGGTGCACTCTCTGTGTAGCAGCCCCACTCTGAAATCTCTCCACGACAACAGGTCCTGTTTGTGTGCATGCCTTTGAGTGTGAGGAGCATGTCTCTAAATAACAGAATGTAAACTAGAATTTCCCTCAGGGATTAATAAAGTATGTCAAATAAAAAATTAAAGAAATAGTTTGGGAATTTGGGGTGGCCAATCAGCCCTCAAAGGGGGCACATGCCACCCCTCTGGACTGACACGCCCCTGGCTATAATATTCATCAAAAAGTAAACAGTCTGTGTTTGAAAAGAAGCAAGAAGTTAACTTTAATTTTACCATCTCATTAGTTGCTTTTTTAAACAACTACAACACAAATACACTCACACTGTTAATAATTAAAGGTCACAATATGTAATATGTAATGTCTGATGATATAGCAAGGTCACTTTATCATTTCTGTCACTACACATCTTACTGATACCTTTAATGAGGGAAAATCCATCAGAAAAGATCGGTTTGATTTGTGTGTGACCATATATGTTTGAAATATAAATGGTCCAAAAGATAGCCCCACACATGAGGCAGGTAAGAAAATCACTTTTTTCATAGTTGAAATAGCAGCAGAACAAACTGCTGTCACAGCGGACAGATCTGAGGTGTAGCCTATAAGCTGAAGTGCTGACACCTGCTCTGGCTGCAGGAGGGGACTCTGCTGAAACCTCCAACCTGTTTCCAATAACCTAATCAGTGAGACTCGGGCACCAACCTTTAAAAAGGACCAGTGTGTGTGAAGCACTCATGAAGCTGCAACATTTCTGCCATTGTAGTTTGGGTTCATTTCTTTAGAGACACAATGGCTTCTGGGTTTGGTCTGCGGTAAGCTGAATTTTACCATCTGATTTTTATGACCTGCTTGTCTAGCTAATGTGTTTTTATGTTTTCTCTGTTTTCAGGGTGCTTTTGGTCTCTATGTTAGCTGTTGGGCAGCATGCTAACGGTAAGGATTCAGAATACACAACCTGCGGATTTCTCTGGTGTTTCTTCTTCATGAACTTCTTCTCACTGAACTTTAAATATGTTTGATCTGACCAGCGCTCAGCTACAGGAGTGGGGGCTCCAAAACTGTCACGCCATACTATGAACAGGCTGAGAGTTTCCCAAGAAGCTACAAACTTCATGACCCCTCTGCACCACAAGAAAGTCATCTGAGCAGTGATGGACAAAGTTACACTGACAGTGGATCATCTGGGAACAGGAAGCCTGCTGCTGCACCTTATAGTGGTTCATATGGCCGTGGAGTAGATGGATACAGTCCAGAGGGAAGTGTTTCTACTTACAAGCCTCCTCCAATAATACGAAAAAACCTACAGCAGCCAACACAACATGTTCTGCAGACCAAAGACAACATGTGGGATATTGCTTTGCCACAAAGTAAGAATGTTGTTGAGACGGCTGTCGCTTCAAGTCAAGGAATTGAGATATATTTGGGTAGCCAACCTGAGGCAGGTAGTGCAAACAGCTACCCTTCCCGGCCCCAGCAGCCGGGCTACCAGTCCAAGCCCCAGCAGCCGGGCTACCAGTCCAAGCCCCAGCAGCCGGGCTACCAGTCCAAGCCCCAGCAGCCGGGCTACCAGTCCAGGCCCCAGTCCAAGCCCCAGCAGCTGGGCTACCAGTCCAAGCCCCAGCAGCCGGGCTACCAGTCCAAGCCCCAGCAGCCGGGCTACCAGTCCAGGCCCCAGTCCAAGCCCCAGCAGCCGGGTTACCAGTCCAGACCCCAGTCCAAGCCCCAGCAGCCGGGCTACCAGTCCAGGCCCCAGTCCAAGCCCCAGCAGCCGGGCTACCAGTCCAAGCCCCAGCAGCCGGGCTACCAGTCCAAGCCCCAGCAGCCGGGCTACCAGTCCAAGCCCCAGCAGCCGGGCTACCAGTCCAAGCCCCAGCAGCCGGGCTACCAGTCCAAGCCCCAGCAGCCGGGCTACCAGTCCAAGCCCCAGCAGCCGGGCTACCAGTCCAGGCCCCAGTCCAAGCCCCAGCAGCCGGGCTACCAGTCCAGGCCCCAGTCCAAGCCCCAGCAGCCGGGCTACCAGTCCAGGCCCCAGTCCAAGCCCCAGCAGCCGGGCTACCAGTCCAAGCCCCAGCAGCCGGGCTACCAGTCCAAGCCCAGCAGCCGGGCTACCAGTCCAAGCCCCAGCAGCCGGGCTACCAGTCCAAGCCCCAGCAGCCGGGCTACCAGTCCAGGCCCCAGTCCAAGCCCCAGCAGCCGGGCTACCAGTCCAGGCCCCAGCAGCCGGGCTACCAGTCCAAGCCCCAGCAGCCGGGCTACCAGTCCAGGCCCCAGCAGCCGGCTACCAGTCCAAGCCCCAGCAGCCGGGCTACCAGTCCAAGCCCCAGCAGCCGGGCTACCAGTCCAAGCCCCAGCAGTCGGGCTACCAGTCCAGGCCCCAGTCCAAGCCCCAGCAGCCGACTACCAGTCCAAGCCCCAGCAGCCGGGCTACCAGTCCAAGCCCCAGTCCAAGCCCCAGCAGCCGGGCTACCTTCAGCCTGAGCAGCTGAAGTTTCAGCCTCGGATGCAGAGCTACCCGTACAAGCCCCTGCACCCGAGCTACCTTTCCAAGCCACAGGAGCCTCAGTTCCAGCCCCAACAGTCCAAGCCCGAGCAGGATGTTCAACAGAGCAAAGATGTAATGTGGGACTTGGATTTTTCCCCAGAAAGTGGCACTCCTAGGAGTTCAAGACCCATTCCAATGGCATCCAGGGAGCATCCCAGGTGGAAGCAGCCGCTGGTTCCTGTGTTCAACAGAAACCACCGGCTCTAGAAACACTCCGGTAAGACTTCATAATTTGAAATTTAATCGAACTGATTTT